TGAAGGTTCCTTCTACATAAAAGGAGCGATGAAGACTTACCAAAGAACAAATATCTCTGTTACAAAATCAAGGACCGAAGACTCCAACAATTGAACAAATATTTGTGATTGTTTCTAAACTTAGTGTTTATGGTCTCGTTCATGGAAGAAATGTATTTGACAAAAATAAAAGGAGAAACTTGAGATCATTACACAACCTTCACTATCCTTTGAATAAATTGATGATGATGTAAGTGACAATAGAATCCTAATTCCTTTTCTTCTTCATTGATTGGCCAACTTAAGAGATGAAACTAATAATCAAACTCAGATTGAATAAGACAACCTTGTGGTAGACAATCTATCAATGATAAGATTGTCTAACTCTATTTGTTAACTTATGCAGATGGCAAGCAACAACAAAGACAAAACACTAGCCTAACAACTGAAGAATTTCCAACCCTCTTTAGTTTGGTCTACAACAATTTTCGATTTTACCTAAGGATCATCCCCAATAATTTAGAACACTAAAAGATTGCTCTGTTAATCAGGAACAACAAGTGTTGTTGTCAGCTCTTTGTAGAGAGCAACACCAACAACAAGATTAAACTCTTTGAATGCGCTCAATTATTATTTCTCAAAAATGATGTCCCAGTCCCATGAAAAAAAAACTTATTGTTGGTACATTAGACCTAACATGAGTATTTACAGAAAATATCATCTTTACTTAACACTATCGAAGGAAGCATAAAAGCAAAGTATCAAGGATTTTCAACCATTGAAGAGGTTGTTTACTCCTTAAACAATTTTGTTAACCATAACCCTAAAGTAGAAATATAGATCTTAATCAATTCTATATTAAAGATGATAGTAGTACCCTAAAAGAAGCAAAATTTCTCAAATAAACATAAATCAGACAAATTTATGGATATGCCAAAAGATGCTTCAAGATTAAAAGTACATTGGATTAAACAAGAGTTCAACTATAGACTTTAATAACAAAAAATTAACTCTTGAAAACACAAAACCTAGAACTCAAAAATCTGTTTGATATTTATTATATATGTATAAAAACTTAAATTCTACAAAATTTCATATATTATCACTAAAATAATATTATAAAAGTTAACATCATATTATGTCTTGTAAGAATTATTCAATGCTTAATTTACTTAATTTTTACATTTAATACAAACTAATTGTATCACATATACATATATAAAGTACATAGTTTTTCCCTCCCTTCATCTTATTCTTTAGATGTCAAATGGCTATAAAGAAAGTGTAAGTGTGGTTGAGGTGAAAGGTATAATGCTCGTGACAAATGCAAGTGAAAAACAACATCACACTTGTCACTTTGTGCTGTCGGCACAATTACACACCTCTTTCACCACCGTTTATTATTAAATAGAAAAAATATTGTATTATTTGAATTTTAATTGTTTCTGATTTTGTGAATTTTAATTATGTTAGATGTGGTGATTTAAATATTATTTTACTTTTCAAACCTTTTAAGGAAAAATCATGATTCCGCCTATTTTACGCTAAAAAATATAAATTTAAACAATTAGTTCTGTACGAGTGAAAAATGTTAAATAATATTTGAGAAAAAATGGAAAATAAAAAAATTTCATTGAAAAATTAAAATAATAATTTTATACTTAGAAAATAAAAATAATTTTTTTAAATTTACTATAGAATATGTAATATTTTTCTAGGTTTTAATTTGTTGTTAATTTAAATAGTATTTTTCTTCTGCCGACAGTCACAAGTGAGGGCACGCGCTGGCTACTCACAACCGTACGATAACGTTATGTTGACATCATTTGCTTTATCTGGTTCCACAATGCTTTCTTAAACATTAAAACGGTGAGTCTTTGAGTTGAAGCTATCCATCTTTGACCATTGGATTAATCTGTGTGATTTATTGGTTTAGTCAAGGATAGGGTCATGGGTATCATTAAATAAAATATATATTAATGAAATGTCAAATTTGAAATTTAAATTTTTCTGTATGAGAATAAAAAAATTATTTGTAGTTTTAAAAATAAAAAAATAGTAAAGTGTAAATTTGTAAAGTTATTTCACCAGAAAAAAATATAAAAATATTTTAAAAAGGATTTAACATATTTAAAGGTATAATTAAAACATTTATTTAAAAAAAATGTATTCGAGTGGTTGGATAGAAATTACTTCATGCAACCTTTTATTACAGAAATATATGAGTTCACATGAAAGTTGTTTAGAATAAATTGGAGAAAAAAATTTAAGAGTTTATAATTTTTTTTTTTGCTAAGAAAGAGGAGGAGAATCATATAAAACAAAAAAGAAAGTAAAAATTATATATAAAAAGATAAGTTGTATTGAAGTTTTTTTTTAATTTATTCTATTAGAACAAAAATAGGTATGAATTGCTTAAGAATAAATTAAATTAGACAAAAAAAAATGTATTATATTTTTGGTTAAGCTAAACATAAAAAATTATATAATAAGTAAAGACAAAATGGAAAGATTCTAATTTAAATTAAATTGGATAAATTTTATTGAATCAATTTACCTGATAACCTAATTAGATTCATACCAACTCAATCTATTTTATAAAATAATTATGATATTTAAAAAAAAAATTATTATATTAAAATATCAAAAATTATTTTATATTTGTATTGTGATTTATATATAAATCCTTATATTTAAAATTAATTTAATTTTCTACTGATATAATTTACATTTTAATATACCTACTAAACTTTGTCTATATGATTTATTTTCTTAAAATAGATTACAGTAACATATTAAACTAATATTTGACCGGTCAAAGTTAAAAATGGTAAGTTATTCTTATCAACTCAAACTTGCTAAAATTTATAACTATTTTTCTGTCAACTATGCATCACCACAAAAGATTTAAATAGACTATTTATTTAGTCAACCATCTTTAAATAATTTTAAACCTAAATATTCCAGTTAAACAAAAAATTAGAAATAATAAGACTTGTTTTAACTTAAACATACCATTATCTTTAATTAATTTTAATTGAAACGTTTTTTTTCCTTTTTTTTTCATTTCTTTACAAGTTTTTTAATCTATTACATTAAAGACTATATTTATTTATTGTCCTTTTCTTAAAATGAAAAAATTGAAGAGAGCAGTATAGAAATTAATATGCAATATAGAACAGTGTGGAAGTAGAAAAAAAATTGGTAAAAGGTAGTCATAATTTTGATTAAAATCACCCAAATACCATTTTAAAGTTGAGAATAATTTTTTTCTTATTGGTAAGAGGAGAAATTAATGCATAATAACTTACAAGTGGAGCCTCCCATATTTATGATGAGGTCCCTCACAATTACAATTGTTATTTACCTCTTCTTAGGGTAATCAATTTATTCCAATAATTATTTAATACATTTTTCATATTCTAAATTTTTTACACATTATATCTCTACACAAGGTTAAACAAACTGAAAATCGTAATAATATTTTTATACTTAAATGTCAAACTATTATGTTATAATTCACAACTAAATTTAATTTGAAAGTATTAATTATTTAAATTACAATAATATTATATAATTGTACCATTTAAATTACATAACATAAAAATGTTAATTTTTTGAATTATTTTAACTTTAATATTTATTTTAAAAATTTAGACCGACGGTTTAGTCCGTCTCCTCTGACTCTTAAAATGTTATACGAGTTTTAAGTTATCATATTAGACAAATAAAAATTACCATAATGATTAAATAAATTATAAAATTTTATTATATTTATATTAATTCACATTCGTTTTAAAATATTAACTCTTTATATTAATAAAAACTTTAAATTTTACATCAATTTTGAACATTGTCTTATAGCCATAATAATGATTAAATAAATTATAATATCTTGTCATATTTATATTAAATCATGCTCTCTTTAAAAATATCAAATCTTTCTTTTGCGTACGTATTTTAATCCTTGCAAGTCTATTTTTAAAAGACTTTTTGTTTTAATTCATATAAATTTTAAATGATTTTTTAAAGACTTTTACTGTGTGATTTGGATTTTAAAATGTTTATAAAATATAAAATCTTGTATTTACAATTCTTAAAAGGTTTCAGATATTTATCGAAGATTGTAAATTATTTACCGTTTACAGGACAAATTTTGAATTAAATAAACAATGAAAAAGTTTTTCTACAAAACTGTAAATTAGTTATAAATCTTTAGTTCTTTATTTATTTTAAAAAGTTCATCTTTCTAAAATTATAAATTCTTTATATTTGTTTTCAAAGTTTTTAAATTGCATCACATATTTGAGGAGGTAGTTGATCGTATATTTAAACAGATCAACAAAAATTCTAATTTAAACAAGTTCTTTTTTTCTACAATTGATTTTATTTATTTTTTTGGGTTAAATATGTTTTTAGTCCCTAAACTATTGGCCGTTTCTGGTTTTCGTCCCTCTTTCAAAGTAAGGTACAATTTGGTCCTCATTCTTTTCGAAACGTTCGTTTTAGTTCTCAGAATTTTGGTTTTAGTCCTCATTTGTTGCTAAATGAGGACCAAATTTTGAAACAGTGTTTAGTTTTCGAGGACTAAAACGAACGTTTCAAAAAGAATGAGGACCAAATTGTACCTTACTTTGAAACACGACGAAAACCAGAAACGGCCAATAGTTTAGGGACTAAAAACATATTTAACCCTATTTTTTTCTTTTTCACATGTAGGGATTATATATCTTTTTCAAATCTTAGTTAATTTTTCAAAAACATTAGTGCTTTTGCCCCCAATCCACCATCCACCTAGGGAACAACAATTTATAAGTGATAGAATAAGTGGAGGTATTGATGTTACACGTTGAAGTTTGGAAAAACTTTTGGAAGTCCAGAGGCTATGTTCCAATGAAATGTCGATTTCAAATATTTTTATTCATTATGTTAACATGCAAATCCAAGGAAGAATATATAGAAATTTTAAGCTTCAGTTTCGCATAAGCATTATGAATGAATAGAAAATGTTAAGAAATACATGAGCAATTTGGAAGCCAATACTTATTGAACAAATACCATTCAAGAATATATCACCAACAAGAACACAATACGAAAGATTTTTTATCCTGCATTTGAATTGGCATAAAAATGGGTATAGTTTACATTAATCTATGATTCTAAGACTAAATTCGAGACCAAAAAAGATTCAGTGTTTACAGTCTTGTTCTATTTTTCGAAATATGCACTTGGACAAGATGATAGAGTGTGGAAAATATTTACGTTGTCTCCCAGTTTGGAATGTTCGCACTAGCTTCGTTCACCATCTTTACAAGGGTCACCTGCAGATATATATCATAAGCAAACAACACATTAATAATGCTTTCTATCATGTTCCAGTCTCAGATAGACAGCACTAGAAGAAAGAGTGGACAGAACCAATGCTAGTGCTATATATAAGTGTAATCAAGTCTCATCGTATGAGGTGTTTCTCAATTCTAAAACACATGATATCTGGAATTAACCATTGCTGTTCTTATGTACTCATACTTCAATTTGTGTCATGTATTTATATCCGTATATGATACTTTAAGAAACTTTAACTATACTTATTGATAAAGTAAATATCCCATTTATGAAATACTAGTACTTTTATGATCACAGTAACTTGTAACTTTTTATTTTGACTATGTGTATGTTGGCATCATAGACCATTAGAAATGCGGATACATGATACAAATTTGAAGTATTGGTGCATCATATGGAAGTTTTCATTACTGATTCACATTCAGACAGTAATACATGATGCTGTTTGGAAAAAATACCATTTTCTTCTCACTTTTCTGTAAGTAAAATGGAAACATGTATGAAATTACAGACAGAGTTTCTTAAAGGATTTTGTGTAAAAAATTTATGTTAAGTTCCATGCATCAAGAAAAGGTGGTTAGCTACATACTATTCCAATAAGATACGATAAAATTCTTATATGAATAGGCAAGTCCTACATACACATACCACACTTTCAGGAACTCCTGGTGGGGGCAAAGGCAAGTTCTTTGGTGGAGGTCCTCGTAGATGTGACCTTTTGTCAAATCTCCACTCACCAATTTTGCCATAAGTCAACTCACCCTGAGCATCATGAAACACACTAGTGAGACAAAAGTGTATCTGCTAAAGCAAAGTTCCATAGCATAGCAAGAAAGAAAGAAGATTTGACTAGTTCAGATATTTGTTCACTGAAGGCAAATTTATGACAAATGTTAGAAGATCACAACTATGCAATTCAGGGCAAAGAAATCATTTTACCTTCATATTGTAGTCACAACCGTAAGTATAATGAAGTATGTATTTCTTTCTAGTTTCAAGATCCCAGGGTGGCTGAAAAGTCACAGACAAGAAAAGTAAAACTAGAATTGGGTAAGCCTTTCATATATAACACAGATTAAACACCACATCCAGAAACATGGTGTTATGCCAAACCTGCAGCATGAAGTCTTTCCGCAGAATGTGCCTCACACCATGCAGAGCAGATGCAACGGCATAAGCATACCTTGGCTCCACAAGAAAAAAAACAAAAATCCATTAGCATAAGCATGAAAATATCAGTATCACCACCTCATTTAGAAGAAAAACATCTGCACCATTAATTAGTTACATGGTAAGACATACATTTCTAGCACCCATCCAAAAGCCTTATCAGTCTCTGGGTCCTCTTTCATCTTCAAAGAAACATTCATCCAAGTAGGAGCAATCTTTGCTATCAAGTCCTGAAAAAATAAAACAGAGAAATACATAGCAAGGAGTTTAGTTAGGTACATTGCATTGCATGCATATAAATAAAGAGGGGTGGTTGAGAGAAAAATCATCTTATCATTTGATAAATTATTAGACCCTCAAATATCCAAGTTCATTTTTTATCATCTAATCCTTGTCTAAGGCTGCTAGCACATTGGCAGATAGGATCCATGAACAAAAATTCATTTTTTCTATAGATTCTGAACTGGGTCTATCATCAATATGAAATGTATCGGCATTAAGGTCTTCAGAAAACAGTAACATAGTTAACAAGAATAAGACATGGAAAGTAATTCGACCATCAAGAACAGTTATGGAAGAGATTCTACCTTCCTGATAATTACAGGAGAATTGCCAATTGGGTCAACATTTGTCACTGGTCCATATTCCTCAGGATAAAACTTCCTAATGATCTTTTCGTTCTGATCAGGTTTGATGTAAAAAAATGGAAAAGCAGCTGGATGTCCTCCATAGGCCAGATTGGGCAGAGGGCGTAAAAATATATGATCAGGCTCTGCCATTAACACATATCTGCATCAAAAGGGAAGCAACTGAGTTATATTTCATCATTATGAATAAAAAAAATAGATCACATTTCTGATAGTGTAAGAGATCTAACTCTTCCTCTATTTTAGCCTTTTCCAGCCACTGAACAAAGGCCCATGGCCTATTCAGAACGACGTATCCCTGCAAACAGATAATGCAATGCATCAGAAAACATCTAATTTATATTGACTAAAGAAGAAGAAAATAAATAACTAACATCATAGTGAGACATTCAGTTATTGACTATTAACCAAAAGTTCAAAACATCAATAACAAGAACTTAACAGAGGAACACAAATGTGGACAGACAAGCCAAAAAACTCAAATATGTGTCAAGCAGTTGACATTATTTGCACATTAACTTCTAAATCATATCTATGTTTTAAACAGTTGGACCAAGAAAACATTTGAAGAATGAACTCTCCCCTATGAAGCTTCCAATAGATTCATCTTGAAAAGACAAAAGGAAAAGACCACCTAAATTTGCATTTCTTTGCTGTTATGCTATGATGCATGGATGCTATGACGCTGATACCTTTATTTCGAAAATAATAGGATACAATACGTGCTATAAAAAATGTACAAAATTTGTTAAAAGCATGATAAATATATGATTGCTATTGTGTGAATCCAAATTAAAATCATATGTATTAAACAATGTAAAAAAAATTATAAATTATTGTCATCATAAAAGTGCAAATGCTTTATAGATTAGATACTTCACTTCATAGATAAGTATGAGTAAAGTATCCTAAAGTATTGGACACGGATACATGATCCGAATTGAAGTATATCATAGTTATGTATGACCATTAGGAATTTAGGCATGTCAATCATTTCCAAACATATTTTGCATAATGGATTTTAGAAACAATCAAAAACACTACTCCTTTCAATATTATTCTTTGAATTATTTCATTGACACGAAATCGTTTTCTAAGATTTCACTTCTTTCAACAGAGTACATCGGTTCAAAAACCTCATGCTTTTTATAAAATTTGAAGATTTTAGCACAAAGCATGTACGTAGATTTAGTGATCATGGTATATCACAATCAATTCTAACAGCAACTAAAACATTACTAAGCCAAACAGCTGAATTATAAGGAGATGGCAAACAACATATAAAGAATATAATGGAAAATGACAGTAAACTCACCCGGTCCAAACCTGCTGCAAGAGGATCAACCACAACAGTAGGAATTTCATCCATCAAGTTGTCAGACTTTCCAGAATGTAGAATCCTAGTGAATCCTCCCATCTCTGACCCGGGTAACTTTTTTTGTTGCTTATACCAGTAATACATGACACGGCACTGCCATTTGTTATATGGAGCATCTGTTGCCGTTAATGCCACATGAAAAGGTGCTTTAGATGTCTTCCGATTCTTTACATGATCAGGCATCTCAAGAATGGGGTCAAAAAGCAATCTACCATCAGGAACAGCTACACCTTCCGAAGATCCATAGCGCCTTAGCATTGTTACCAGATTGTACGTGGCAAAGGAAGAACCAAGAACTATAAAAATTATAAGGAATGTTGAAGCTCGTCCCATGGTCTTCCTATTCCAGAGAGATTTCAAAATATCATGGACCTCAACCTCCTAAAAGCTCTTCATAGAATAAACTATGCTCTGAACAAACAAATAGCTCTTCATCAGATTACATGTTTCTCACTTCTTCAGCAGAAGAACTAACCAAGTTTCATTCAACACATCCAATCACCAGAGTTAGACAAGTTAAAGAACAAATCAGATTGCAATTGTACAGAATTAGGATTTAATTTTAAACGGTCAGATCAGATTATAATTCGACCAGGTTTTCTGAAACGAACCTATCAATTAACTCAACAGCCAATTGCTACACAATTACATTAAGTGGTCCCAATCAACCACTTCTACAACTACCTCTCAAAAATAAACTTTTCTTAGAAGCCAATATAAAGAAGAAAAATCATTTTCAAACAATAAACACACACACACACTCAATGGATAAGCAAAAAATATACAAATCTAATACTAGGAATAGAATCTTGGCACTGGATGTAAAAATCTTGAAAATGAAGAGAACAACCTATTCAGGATAGAAATTCAAAACTTGGGAAGCACTGCAGGAAAGGGTAAAGAGCCACATTTAATCAAACATCAGATACATAAAGTGAAAAACAGAAACAGAAGCAAACCAAGATTCCATCTTGATTTTCATTTTCCGTTGAGGATTCCCGGAATCAATATTGGTTGAAAAAAATATTATTTTTTTGGTAAAATAACAACAATGGCAATAAAGGGTGCATGGTGATTTCCAAGGAATTGGATCAAATTACACTGGAAACCACCAATACCTGCCCGGTGGTGAATAAACAACAAGATTACAAAAAATGGGTCAAAGCTAAATTTGAAGAAGTGACAGCCATACTCCTAGAAAACTCAAATGGGTGTGCAGAAAAATTGCAAAAGTTAAGGAAACACAACAATGGAGACACAAACAGAGAAAAAAAACGCACCTTTGAATTGTTAGAGTTTTTACAGTGAGATGATGATTTATAGATCAGAGAATGAGAGAGAGAAAGTGAGTTGTAGTTTGGTTGTTCTTCTCCCCCGATGGAGGCAACACGGCGGCGATATCCTTTAATTAACTAATAACTATTACTTTATGTCATTTTTTTCCCTTCATTAATTTCTTTAATTTCAATTTAAACCAATTGAAATTCATGCTAGATGATTTAAGAAAAGTCAACTTTCAAATGTAAATGATTAAATAAATACTAAAATTCAACGAAAGGCACTGTCTCATTATTTTTACCTTTTTTATTATTTTATTTTTTAAGGTTGTCACATAAAACTAAAGCATGGTAAATTTTCCCAAGTTTGACTATTTTCCATTTTTCATTTCTATTCTTAGTAAATACATAAATGCAAATTAAATTAATGAATAAGAATATAATTACTAAAGGAGTGATTAATATTATTTTAAAACCTTAAAATTACGTATAAATATAAAAGTCTTCCAAAAAATAGCAACAATTAAAAAGGAACAAGAATATGCTAATTTGCAGTTTTAATACAACACTATAAATTTGTGGAGGTTTCACTTGTTAGAATAGTTTTGAAAAAGAAATACTAATTAATGATAGAGTGTATGTTAAATTAAATAAATTACGTAATCTTTCAATTACAATATTGTCATCCTTTTTAAGATAAAAATATTATTCTCTTTCATGACTAGTACTAAATGTTAGATGAATGTTGTTAACAGAACTTCTAACACACTTCAAAAAGAAAACTACCAACACACTTTCTTTCATTACTTAAATTTTATTAAATTTTTAAAACTTTAATACATTTTACGTTTCATTAATTTTGCTCTCTTAATTCAATCATTTTTACTAAATTTAATTAATATTACAGTGTGTTACTACTACTTCTTTTGCATAGATATACAAAGTATAAATATTAGTTAAATATATTTAAAAAACTTAATGTTTGTGAACTACCAATATACATTTTTTTCACTTTGTGAAAAAAATTAAATATGAACATAAACATGATATTCAGATCTAACCTTTTTATTAAGTAATTATTGTATGGTCATTAGTCAATGGTCATGTGATATATTATCTTGGTTTTAGCAGATTAAAGAAAATTCAATTGATTAAAGTGGTTCCTTTTTTTCTTCAGACTACTACTCTATAATCAATAATTTTTTCTTTGGTTTAATCCTTTAGTACATCCCTATTTATGTACGAATGTCTCAATTGGGTCCTCGTTTTTTAAAGTGTATCAAAATGGTCCTTAATTTTGAAAATTGATATCAATTGAGTCCTTTCCGTTAAGTTGGGTGGACGGCGTTAAAAAAATTGATGAGTGGATGCTGAGATGACGAACGGACGCTCGTCCACCAGCGGACGAACGCTCGTCCATCAGCGAACGAACGCTCGTCGACCACCGAACGAACGGTCGTCCAGTGTGGAACGAACGGTCGTCCAGCAGTAAGAGGTCGACGAGCGTTCGTTTTCTGGTGGACGAGCGTTCGTTCTCTGGTGGACGAGCGTTCGTTCGCTGGTGGACGAGCGTTCGTTCGTCATCTCAGCATCCACTCATGAATTTTTTTAACGCCGTCCAGCCAACTTAACGGAAAGGACTCAATTGATATGAATTTTCAAAATTAAGGACCATTTTGATACACTTTAAAAAACGAGGACCCAATTGAGACATTCGTACATAA